AACTATGTTTTAGTTTAACGTAATTTCACTTTGATTTAGTTGGTATTTAAATTTATAGTAGACATATTTAGCCATGTTTGAGCCATATTTTTCATATCATCATAATGAGAAAAAAATTGACCTTTGAAGAGGATGATGTGTCCCACACATGAAACAGCAAGTTAACAAATGCGGTAGAACTTGTGGGATAACATTCCAAATTTTCATTTTTTTTGTCTCAAAAATTTGATTCAAACAGGGTTTTAGTTTGTTTTAAATTTATTGCTAATAAGATATAAATATATATTGAATTCAATGAATTAATGATATAAAAATAGAGAGGCAAAAAAAATATGGCAAAACCGACTGTTTAAAATCGGACTAAGCCATTAGGTTTAGGTTTGAGTTTTTTTCCAACCATTCAAAATGGTTTGGTTTATGTTTGGATTTTTCTCAAATCAATTTAAACGGTTTAGTTTGAAAATCCGTCAAAAATCGATAAAATCGGACTGTTTACACCCCTACCTAATCCTAAAGCGACCAAACAGTCACTTTTTTTAAGGTGACTGTTGGGTCATTTCAAGAAAAGATTGTGTTCAGATGGTTACGAACTTTTAGATTTTAATGTGGTCAATATTTTTTTTTCTTCATAAATACCTCACAATTACACATCATCTTTTCAACCAATAATCAACAATCTACTCTCTTCTACATTCTCTCTACAATCAAAATATCAAATTACTATTAATTATTCAATTCTATCAAATACATTATATAATTTTTATTACATACACATACACATTCTATGATATTCAATTCTACATCTATTAACGTACACTCTCTCAATTCTATTCTCTACGCTACATTTTACATTATTCAACTTATACATTTCACCTTCATTCAAATTACATTCTTTATTAGAATTCTATTTCATCTTATTCTTAACATGCATACTATTTTATTATTGGTAATGATTCTGACACTTTCAAGGGTATAATTGTTTAACAAGTCAATATCTAACTCTAGATTAACCTAAATTTTTATTAGCTCAATGTAAGATTCACTGCCTAGGTCGGGAGGGTTGAAAACTAATACTATATAGAAATCATAAATTTTCAATGATCAAATGCACCATAATAAGAGAAAATGATTTTGAACTATTAATGCAAATGCAATGGCAATATAAATAGCAAGTAATGCATGAATCATATTAGCTAAGTATGTAAGATAAAGTTCACGGTATTACAATAAATTGAGTCTTTTTTCTTTCCATAACTCGTATGGAGTTTTGTCGACCAATTTAGATTGGACACGATTTAATGTGTAGCAGCAACAGTTAGTATATAACCCTAAAACGATTTTGGGAGGTTTGCATGGCTCATTATTGATCATACCATATCTAATAACGTGCTGTTCCTCCGTTCAGATACACCATTATGCTGATGTGTATGCGGTGGAGTTTGCTGTGAGTAGATTCCATTCTTTTTTAGATAATCTAAAAATTCTCTTTTTAAATATTCTCCATCTCAATCTGATCTTAACATGATAATACCTTTACCTATTTGTTTATCTATTTTAAGCTTGAATTCCTTGAACTTTTTCAAGTGCTTCACGCTTAAACTTCATCAGATATACATAACAATATATAGAATGATCATCAATAAATGAAATGAAGTAAGAGAAACCACCTCTAGCGATGATTGACACGAGTCCACATATATCAGTACGTATTAGCCCTAATAATTGAGTAGCCTTTTCTCATTTTAAAGCAAAAGAAAATTTGATCATTTTGCCTAGTAGGCACAACTCCGACTGGGACGCATTGATGACTCCTATTCGCTTCCCTCCCGATAATTTCAAGCACTTTTTGATTCTTTTTTCAAAGTTTTTTCATCTTTTCCTCACAGTACTTGTTTGCTATCCGTCTCTCACCCGTATTTAGCCTTGAACGAAAAAATACAAACCAAGGAATCAAACATATGTGCGAGTCAAAAAAAAAAGTAAACCCATAAGGAGCAAGAAAATTGATTGGCATAACCTCCTCGAGGGGGGCAACACCAATCGATTTTGATCGTCTGAGATAGAACTAAAGTTTTCTTTACTTGTGCTAGCAAGAGTATGAATTGTGTATTCTCTATTGAATTTTAGAACCGTAGCAATCTATTAATACAAGTTCAAGTGGACTTAGCCCGTCTTCTAACTTAATTCGGTCAAATATTTAATTAATCCAATTAATTAAATTTGGTCCATGAGTTAATTAATTTGAGCCTATTAACAAGCAACCCAATTAATTAATTATTTAACAGTTGTCAATTAGTTAATTGATAAATCTCATTCTTTTAATTCTCCTTTTGCGTATTACCCATTAGATACCCAATTACGATACCTAACGACGTAAATCACTATTTTAATCGAATCAAAATCCAAAAATTAAAATAGCCCTTTTTAATTTATTAGTTCGTCGTCCCAAATTGACATCTAGCAATGTGTAAGGACAATATATGTAACGAAAAATGTCATATGGTATGACAAAACCAAACTTGTTTGTTTACATGAAACTATAAACCTTTTATCAATATGATCCAATTAATTATGAGATGTGGATATGTGTCAATCTCAATTATCGACCGTATCTTTCATTTCATTATTAAGTCGATATAAGTCGAAAATGAGTTTTCGACTTATGAATACACATTAGCCAATGATTTTGTTATCAATTTAATTTAATGAAACGTAGATCATAATCTCTTACTATTTAAGAGTGACAAATTCTTTATTGATTATTCATAACCTTAATATGATTATTGGCATATTTGAATGATGCCAAATTAGCGACCCTTGGTAAAAGAACGTTCGATATTATCAAAGTATGTCTGTCTTCATATAAGGCACTATAATGACGCAAGTCAAATGATCGATTTCACTATTGAATATTAGAGATTAACAATTAACACTCAGATAGTAATTCATGTCAAATCTTTCCGTAGGGCATCCAATGTTTTGTTTTATAACAAAATATCTAGATGTTCATTTAAGTGTCATCACACTTTAATTTTTGAGATCAGCTACTTACTTCAAAAGCAAGAAATGCCACACGTGATGATTTATCCGTAATAAAAATATCCGTATCTCATTATTACTTACAACTATAAAAAAATTTAAGATTTAGTCAAATTGTAATTTGTATCTCACAATCGCAATTTCTTGGGATTAACAAATCACCGAGGGTCCGTTTGATTGTAAGAATGAAATTTGAGTAGAAAGAAAATGAATTTTAAGGAATTAAATTACCTAGAACTTGTTTTCTTAGGAATTGTTAATTAAATGTGTTTGATTGGTATAATTTTTCACTTGAAAAATCTTGAAATTTTTTATCTTTTGGTGTTCATTTGGCTTTGTTTTTCATAAAAATCGTCAATTGAAAGGACATAATTTGTCACAATTGGGGACAAAATTTGATCCAATTGCCCAAAAAAAAAAAGCTGGAAAATCAATTTCCACCAAAACCAAAACCAAAGCCAAAGGAAAACGAATTCTTTGTTCTATTACTTAATATGATTTATTAGAATAGTGATTCGAATAAATAATAGATCTTGCCAAAATAAATGCATTAAACATATTAAAAGTGTTTACTACCTAAATTGATTGGATTTAGGGCATAACACTTACAAATACCCACTTGCACTAGATCCAATCACGCATGTATCTAATACCATAAGTGTTTACATGACAATCATATTTATGCTGTGACAATGATTTTGTCAATGGATCTACAATATTATCATTCTTGGAAACTTGCTCTATCTTTACGTCATTTCTTTGTATAATCTCTCTCATGAGATGATTCTACCTTAGCGTAAGTTTGAATTGTTGATGAGACCTTGGTTCATTTGCTTGCATGATGGCTCTATTGTTATGAAAATACAGGATTAGGTAAAGTATTTTGATTCTTTGAAGTATTGTGTTATTTGCTAAGAAGAGGGTCCAAACTCCTAAGGCTATTGAACTAGTTGAAGGATGATCAAGGTTGGTTCTCATTCGTGCCTATGACTTAAGGGAGTCTTATCTGAATTGGTTGAATAATATAGGGCAAATTATGACATTATTCATTTTCCTTGGTTCATAGTAATGCTTCCTGATCATTTCCAACATATCGAAAATATCAATTTAAGAACTTTTACACACCGAAAATGAAACAAAATAAAAACAAAGGTGAATTTTTTCCAACATCTTCTTGTTGCAAAGCAATTAAGCAAACCAAGGGGCCTTGAAAAATGTGAGCTATCTACTGTGCAATTGTGTAATTTGTGTTGATGTTTTATGGGTATGATTTTATCAATTTTCAGCAATAAAACATGTGAAAATGGAAATTCGTAACAAAATAGATGACGGTTTTCTTACTGATTGTTTAACACTAAACATTGAACGAGAATTTAGATCTAGATTTTATTATAGATAAATTTTATGCTGTAAAACATCAACAAATACAACTACAACATGTAACTTATATTATGAATTTTTCTTATTATATATAAATTTTATTCGTAAATTAAATTTTTAAATTTTTTTGCCCCATAGCATTAATTCATGGCTTCGGCCCTAGTTCCAATCTTGTGTTTTTATTCGATTATGTTGTTGAAAAATAGGTCTCGATGTTGCCACGGATTTTTTCAGATCGACTTCTCTTTGCTCAGCTGTCCTCGGCCACAACTCGATGAAATGAAAATCAATACACGTTTATCAGTAATTCGTCTGTATGTTAACAACTGCACAAATATTTCCACTATTGATTCGGTGGTTTTCGTCATTCATAACCCATGGAATATAGGCCAAAACTAGCAACACGTGTCTCATGGGAACAGAAATTTGGTGCTTCTGTAGTCGGAGTCACACGTGGTCCGTGGCTCTTGCATTGCCCTGTGCATGTTCTATAGGTTGCAGTGATTTACTAGGTTAGTGTACCTATAAATTTGCCAGCCTCCTTGTGCAATTGCACACTGTAAATTGTTGAGTCAGTAAAAATGGCTCGAAATATTGATCCTTTAGTTGTTGGTAGAGTTATTGGTGATGTGGTTGACATGTTTGTGCCTAGTGTTTCAATGCATGTCTATTATGGTGCTAAACATGTCACTAATGGCTGTGATATCAAGCCATCCATGGCGATCGCGCCACCCAGGGTCACTATTACTGGTCATCCTGCCAATCTCTACACTTTGGTAATTTTACTTTGTTAAATTTGAATCATATGCAATCGAGGTACTCTCGTTCTTTTTTTGGATCTAACTACTTTTTTCCCTAAAGTGACGACCTCAAGATTGGAACCCTGATCACTGTTTGACATGATCTTATGGGTGCATCCAAGTAATTGTTTCAAGATACATTCATAACGTAATTTTTGTGTCTTCTTTTTAAAGGGGTTTGATTCAACGGTTCGATAATTTTAGAAGTTTATGACTTTGTTTGCATGAACAAAATCAAATTAACCTCCTTTGACATTTTTAAAACATCTCTAAATCGAAAATATGTGATCAAAGTACTTTCTTGGAAACTCGTGAAAGAATGGTGAGGGTTCGAGTCCTATGACGTTATTTCGGAGAATGAGAGTACCCTAACAATTAGCTATTGATGCATGTATCGAGATCAAGCATGGACATGTAGTAATGAAATGGAAGGGTTGATGCAGGTGATGACCGATCCTGATGCTCCGAGTCCAAGTGAGCCAACCATGCGAGAATGGGTCCAGTGGTTAGTAATGGCTACAAAAAATACACACCTAGTAAATTGAATTTGCTTACTCGTCTGAACTTTTTTAATTTTTTTTAAACTACTCATGGTGGCTGTTGAATGCTTAGAGTATCTCCATTGTATGAGAAAAAGTATCTTTTCAATATCGATATAACGATCTTTTCCCACGTTCAACTAAGACCCCTTGAATCTTGAGCTACTTGTCATTTCAATCCAGTTCCAAAAATACATTTCTCGAACCGAGAAAGTGGAATAGTGTTGTCAAACCAAACAACTAGAACCTTACTACCTTAATATTTCACAAATTTCGTAGCGGATAAATTAAGTCAATCTTAGGAACACCCACAAAATTCAACATTTCATAACAATTTGCAACAATGAGAATTTAATGGAAGTTTCATATCTCTCTCTCTCTCTCTCTCTCTCTCTCTCTCTCTCTGTGTGTTAATAAATAAATAAAATATCACTCGAGTGCATGTTTTTCAGGATTGTGACAGACATTCCGGGTTGCACCAATGTCGCACAAGGTAATATCAACTCCATAAATTAAGTTACTGTCAATTAATTGGGTTCCTCCCTCTTTTTCCATGTCTTTGCTTGCATTTTGGTTGGCGACTGATTCGAGGTCATGTAATTGTTAGTCACCAAACTTTTAAAATAGGTCAAACTTTAATTATTGAACTTTTTCAGCATAAATAGTCGTCGCACTTAAAAATTTTGTCAGTATTAGTTAGTTAATATTTTTGTTAAGACATCTGATTATTGGTGGATGATCTTGGTGGAATAGCATTAGTAAGTTAGAAAAAGATCACTTCTATATACTTATTTTCGAGTCACATAACTTTTACATTAAAATTTGACAGTAAACAATAATAATAATATTATTTACAGTGGCCATACGTGACATATATATATGGTGGTTAGTGATTTGATGTATAAGGCAATAAAATAACTAATATATTAATATGTTAAATTACTAACTGCTACATGTATGCTACGTAAAGTGACTACGGCAGTGAACAACTACAAATAACATTACTTAATCAATAAATATGTAAATGAGTTATTGAAATAAAATTATCAATAAAGTCAGAAGTACAGGAAAATTTTAACAGAATTTGTACTGACACTGATGTGGCAAACATGATTTGACTGTTTTTTTCTCGCTCTTTTTTCGATCTTCTAATGATGTCGCGTCATCTGTTGTCTGTAAGATTTTTCTGTTAAAAAATTATGTACCTATAGCATTGTTAATTATTCGTGAAAGTGAGATTTTTAAGTTTACTAGTGCCATTTCACCAAGATCGTTTGCCACGTAAGTTGTCTTCGTACACACTGCTAATATTGTCAAATCGACTCACAGATATGTTTGCGACTTAATTATGCTAAAAATGATTGATAACTTAAAATGTGAGTTTGAAAGTTTGGTGGCCAATTAATAAGTGTGTCTAATCCTGATTCTAATTATTGGCACTTGGGACGCAAGCATTGAATATATTCTTGTGAAAATAAATTATTTTAATTTCAATTTTCAGACCAAGTGATCAAATATCGTCCAACAATAATCAACGTTGATCCAAATGTCAAATCACATTATTGCCACTTGTCATTGTCTTTTTTTTTTTTTTTTTTTTTTTTTTTTTTTTTGTTTGTATAGCATGCTTACTCCAAGTTTCACACGTGTCTTATTTACATTCTTTGGCACAATATTTTTTGAGTAATGCTATTTAGTTTTATTGGGATTACAATTTCAATTTAGGTGACGCTAGATGATATGTTGAATAAATGGTGAAATTAAATTATTTATTTAATTTTACTTACCATTTAATATCACATTAACGTCACCTAAACTGGGATTGTAATCCCGATAAGGTTACATAACATTATTCATATTTTTTGGACCCTTCTTATTTTTCAAGTTGAGATATGTTGTCATCTTTCTCTCTAGTGTCTACATAAAAATTTTAGCGTCTAGCTATGTCAATTAACATTAATACATAATAAGAAGGCACAAAGTAGAGAAGAACATCACTTTTGAAATGATGTCTTAATATTTACTAACAATAACTTATATAAGTGTCAGAACTTTAGTAGGTGGAGAGCATATGAGAAGGTCAAAATTTAAAGAATAATGTTATTTGCAGTCATTCACTGTTGCAGTTGTCCTACGTGATATGCATGTGACGGTCAGTGATTTGATACATAGTTAAGAAAAACTATCACATTAATATATCAAATCACAAATCACCATGTAAGATGTCATATAGGACGATTATCGAAGTGAACGACTATAAATAGTATTATTCTAATTTTAAAAGTAACCTACTTATGTAGAAGACGTACTTTTAGGACACGTTGCTAGATTTAGATTACATAAAAATGTTTCGTTTGTATTCTATCTTATGAATATTTCATAAGATTCTTATGCAAAATTTTGAACTTTCCATAATTTTTTGCGATACTTTACTCATCGCAAGAAAAACTCCAGATTGTGTAGCTAGCTAGTTAATGACGTTTTCGACATATCTAGTCAAATACTATCGAACAAAGTTGCTTTTAAGCACATTTTAAGCTACACTATTTGGAATAAGAAATACGTCTTATGTTGTTGAGCGATCGTGATATTTTTCAAGATGAAATTTCTCACTCTATAGTCTCAATGTTGTAGAGCGTCTAATATTTTTCAAATGATATCAAACTAATATCACTTTAATCCATTTTAATTATAGTCTAAAATAAAATTAATTTTAATTTCATAGTTAATAAAACAATACTTTCGTGTACTTCATTTTTGTCACCAGTGCTAACCTAAATCGACACGTATATTATATCGACTCAATTAATGGTTCTTTAAAGAATTTTTGGTCTCTCACATTATCTATTTCTTCTTTAGCTATTTCACTTTTAAAGTGGGCGTTCAAATCTACTTGGACGGAAATACAAAATGTATCACGGGTTCGATTCCTGTATGATTCTTAAGATTATAAAGTAATAACTATGGTGGGATATTTGGACAGGAAATGGGACGCTAGAATACGTGAGCCCTCGGCCGATTATTGGAATACACCGTTACATATTGGTTCTTTTCCAGCAGAAAGTGGCGTTGGGAGAATTGGTGGCGCCACCGATGACTCGATCACACTTCAACACCAGAGCCTTCGCCGAGGAGTTTAATTTGGGCATGCCCGTGGCCACTGTTTATTTCAATGCACACAAGGAGCCACTCAGACGAAACCGCTAAATAATCTTCATTTTTTTTCATCCATCTATAAAACTTGACTTTGGAAATGCTTGTACTGTTGAATCTATTTGTATTGAGCTCTTCTCTATTATTTTAAATCGAGTTTGCAAATCTCGGCACACTTAAGTTAAAATGAGAGGCATGGAGTGTCATAAAAAAGTAAATATTCGATATACGAATTAGGGTAATTGTGTTCATGCCACAATTTTTATTTCTTGCACCACCTTTTAATTTTTAATCTTTGTTCCATAGCACTTATGACCCTAACGATTTTTCATATCATTCTTATCCTCAAATTTTCTATTGGTTAATATATTTTGTATTTTATAATAATTTTATGTACAAAAATTTGTTGAAATGGCGTAAAATAACTTATTTTTCACCGTATTTTAAAAATAAATAAATAAAAAGTGCGAAAAAATATTTTTCCCTCATTTCAAATCATGAAAACAAAATATTTTGATATAAATCATCATTAAAGATGAGGCATGCTAACTAATGAAAGGTTGAAGATACGAATTCGATAAAAAAAAAAAGGTTAAGAAAACAATTGTTACAATAAAAAAAAACAAAAATTAAGGAGCTTAATAACAATTAAAATGTGGTGTATTAAATAAAAATTTTAGCGGCAATATAACCACCTTATGAATTATGAGGAAATTAATTGTAAAACCATGAAATTTTTGCAGAGTATGATGTGTAGCATATAGATCAACTTCGTAAGCCTTTGGATCTATTAGTATAATTCTAGAAAATTTAGGGACCTATGTGCAAATTAGCTAATTACTTTGTTGATGGGGAAAATATTATCAGAATGTAAATTATAATATCAACAGATTGTTACTTGCGAAAAGTCGATTTTGGGTAATTTAATGAATTTAGAAAGTTTAAGTACTAAAGTAAAAATTACGAAAAAAAATTAGAATCATGATTTTAAGCCTTTAGATATTGTAGTGATGCATTGTAATGAGAATAGTAGGATTATTATTATTATTATTATTATTTTTGGCTCTTAAACCCAAGATTGGACTCTAAATGCAAAAAATAAAAATAAATACAAAGTTTAAGGACTAGATTGTAAATGATGAGAAATATATATATATTAGGTCCAAATTGTAATTGACTAGTTTCGTATTCAAAATCATAGTTATTGAGTCGTAAGTCAAGTCAAAAGAATGGGGGTTGATAATATGTCTTGAAAGAGTCAAAGACGAAACAAAGAGAAAAAGTCGCCTCAAAATCACTCGCTACCCTCCTTCGAAGTCCTCGACCCTCTTTTCAGCAATCCAACCGCTTGCTAGCCACAAGTCCACTATTCAAGCAATGGTGTCATTCGGGCAGTCCTATTCGCAATTTGATGACTTTTCACAATCACATTCGACCTCAAAACACTTGATATTATAAATACCCAAGCATTGGTCCATCCTGAACGTGTGTTGAATCTATTTTCATTTAAGAAAACATATTATTGAAGATCAATAACACATTTCATAAATCATAATTCAACTGCAAGATTAAGAAATAAAATATCAAAGATCAAATACCAAAAATCATTACATTCACCCATAAGCCTTCAAAGTTTTGAAGTTGGGAAGAAACATCTAAAGTTTCAGTTGTTCCAAGATGAGTTTGTTCTTGGTGATTTACATTGAGCAAAAAGGTGTCTAGAGTTGCTAGAAAGTGCAAGTTACACAATTGAAGAGGTTCTTCGATGATTTACAGGTTAGAAGGTTGGAATCTAATAAGATTTAGTTGTGTCTGCACCAACTATAAGTTGTATTTACTAGTGATCGTTTTGACAAGGTTCGTTCGAAGGTTTTTAATCCCTGTAACGATTTCTTCAAGGATTTTCCTCCATTACCAAATTTGGTTTTCTTTACTAAAATTTTCCTAAGTATGTACTGCACTAATACCTTGTTGGAAATTATTGTTATTTAGACCCAAATATGCAAAATTAAACCTATTAAAAGCAACAAATCACTTATTAGTTATCTCTTGATGATTAATGTAATTAATTCGAACCAATGCGTCAACCAAACAATTTAAACAATCAGATCAAAAGCAATAAAGAATAAAGTAAGGAAGACCAAGAATTAATGATGGAGGAAAATTCCTTGAAGAACTCTTCACAAAGGAATCAAAAACCTCCGGCAAACTTGCTAGTAAAACCACAAAAATTTTTTAGCTTATAATTAGTCTAGATATTGTTAAACTTTAGCTGACTCTAGCCACTTGACTTGTAAATCACGAAGGAACTTCTTTGGTTGTGCATGCGTTGAAGCTCCAAGTGCTTCTTTTTGAAACTCGAAAACTCTAAAGGCTAATTAGCGAATGTGGGGTTTTGTTATGTGACCTCTGTCTTTAGCTTCAAAAGCACATTTGGTGTGAAATGTATGGACTTCGAAATATGGTTCACCTTGGTCAAAAGCCTCAATGCAGTTACATGCACATCATCAACTCGATCAAGATACCTGGTGATGTTCATGTAAAAGATGTGAAGCCTCCGCCTTTCAACTCCCAAGGCTAAGCTCTCAAGGAAGTAAGCTATGAGATCGGGATGGTATATAGGAGAGAAGTCATGTGGAGAAGCAAGCTCTCCCAGTCTAGCTAGGTAATCGTTGACAGCAACAATGTTTTTTTAGCCAATCTCTTTAATACAAGCCACAAGTCCATTGACTATTTCGTTCTCCATAGGATTGCCGATTAACCTAAGAACAAAAACCTTGACTCTCATATATGAAGAACTAGATGATCCCGAGCTTCCTTCACAGGATCCTGGCTTTTCTCGACATTCATGTCACCTAAGTTTGTTAATTCAGCCACAATAGATTTGAAGGAAAGATTATTAGACAATGTGGCAAAGTTGGGGCCATTATAGCGATATGCTGAAACACATTCTTTCTTTCTCTACCAAACATGAAAGAGTAAAATGTACTTACAGTATATTAAGTCCTGCAATCAGTGGAATCGACTGTAACACATGAAAACATGTTCGAAACCAAAAATTCCCACTCCTCATTTGCGCAAAACTCAAAGTTTCCACTTCTTTAGGAAAATCCTCTGATTTTCCATTACTCATTTCCTCTTCACCCTTCCCTTAGAGCTATTACTTTTCTCATGTAATTTATCTTTGTTTTCCCTCCGACTCTATGATCACAAAATGAGGGAGTTTAATGTTCTACCTTAAAGAAAAAACCAGTAGTCTTCACTTCAATTTGCTTCTCAATAGAAAGGCCAATGGTTTGGGACCTCAGATGTATCTTCTCACGCAAAAATATCTTGAAGTCCAATCTTTGCATGCTCATTGAAGGAAAACCATATGCAGAAGCTTCACTTCTCAATCTACGCCTCAATGTGACTTGTTGTTTTTTATTGATTGATTGTTTAATTCCGCATTATACACCTCTAGGTATAATTAGGTCTAAACATCGTGCCTATTTTTTTCTTCAATTGGTATCAGAGTTTAGTATCGATTCTTAACCCTGTTTGTCGAGATGAGTACTTTCCACTCTTCCATACTTTAATGAAAGCAATTATACTTATTGGAAGGTTAGAATGTGAGCCTTTTTAAAGTCTATGGATGAATGCATTTGGGTTAATATAGAAAATGTTTGGACCATCGCATCTACATCTGTTACTGGTGTGGTTATAATAACATATATCTCTACTTGGACTAAGGATGAATTGCTGAGTGTATTTGGAACATAGAGGTGTCCATGCCATTTTTATGGCAATTTCTCCTGAAGAATTTAAACGGATATGTGTTAGACTACCAAGAATGTTTGGAATATTTTAGAAATAACACACGAGAAAACTAAGATCGTGAAAAATCCTAAGCTTCAAATGTTGACCACTAGGTTTGAAGAAATTAGGATGAACGATAATGAATCCTTCGATGAGTTCTATGTAAAATAGAATGATATAGTGAACTATTGTTTCAACCTAAGTGAGGGAAACCCCGCCGGAGTCAGCTATGGCTGGGTCAGCCTTACTCAAGTTGTAGAACGAGGTCATCTACATAGCACTCAACCTCATGATGAAGAAGCGCTTCGCTCGAAACATGGCTCCCTTGAGGGGAGGGAACTCCTTCGCTCGTGTGCCTTCCTCCCAGGGCCCACTTCGCTCCAATCCTTTCTTCAAGTCTAAGATTGAGATAAAAGATATGAGATCTCTACCTAAAGAGTTTGACCTAAGGCCATAGCTACTGAGGAAAGCAAACACTTAGATGTTATTAAGGTAGAAGAACTTATAAGATCTCTCCAAATATAGAACTTAGCCTACCCCAATCCAAAAAAACATCTTCAACCCTAAACACTGTTAAAGAGCAAATTAGTAATCAAATGGATGATAACATTCTATAGGATGAGGAGTTACCTATCTTGCTAGGAAATTTAACAAACTCTTTAGGAATAATAGGAAACTTCCTAATAAGTTTAAAGGTAACTCTAGTAGAAGCAGGAACTATAAAAGAGAAAAGACTGATCTAGAGAAGCCTGGAAGAGGTCTCAATCCACTTGTCATGAGAACTAGGATTTTGGACATGTTAAATCCGAGTGCCGAAGTTAAAAGAAAAATTTAGATAAGACTATGAATGCTATTCTCACTAATGATGAGTCTCGCTTTAATAATCAAAGTGAGAACTCTAATCTTGATGAGGGAGGGAATTATATAGCATTCACCTCTGTGGTTAAGAGTGAACCTGTAGAGAAAAGAAAGATACTTAAGGATATAGAGAAATCCAACTCTTTAAAGTAAGAATCAAAAGATGGTTGGGATATACAAGAGGCCTTTGACGAGCTGGTATGTAGAGAGTCTTAAGTTGAACTATGTAAATAACTCTATTTTTAAGAAATTACATAAAATAGAATTATAAAAGAAGAGCTTATTAGTCAAATTTGTGGAGTTAACTAGAAGATTAATTGAGTTGATGGTTGATAAAGAGTCCTTAGAAATTAAGGTTAAAACTCTTACCAGTGATATTGAGAAATCTAGTGTCCAACTTCAATTTTTTTCTAGTGGATCTAAGAAACTTAACAAATTTGTTAGG